GGAAGAGAGGGAAGAGAGGGAAGAGAGGGAAGAGAAGGAAGGTGGGATGGCTGGCTGGCTGGCTGGCTGGAGTGTATTGGGGGAAGCACAAGCACAGGTTGAGAGAGTAGAGCCACGGCAGAACCGGTGTACTGACTGAGTCACTATTCAATCGGGCGCAGTGTATTAGTGCAGAACCAAACTTTGTCAGAGTCAAACTGTGTAAATCTTAAATATTGCTGTGAACCTGATTGCGGTAAGAGCGAGCCTGATGGGAGCCTGAATGCAGTAAGATGAGAGTCTGATTGCGGTAAGATTCATGCCTGAATTCTGAATCCGAACAGATCCGGTTGCCATGAACGGTTCTGGTTCTTAGGAGTCAGTGACTGCCAGTGGTTGTGTTGTAGCCCCTACTTGCAGAGTAGGTTTCGAGGACCTTTTAGTGAGCCGTTTAGCCTTGTGGTTTGTATGGTTCACAGTAAGTACGGAGTACGGAGTAGTCGGGGCCGTAGTCGGGTCGGGCAAGGCTAGCGCCCCTTTTCCTTTTTCCTTTTACCTTTTTCATTTTTCTTTCCAGCGGGTCTTGTCTTGAGACGAAGGCTCAATGGTCCATGGTTCAACGGCTTGTTGAAATCCTAGCTCCATCGCCAACACTAAAACTGTGCCAGTGCCAGTGGGAGCTTCCCTTCCGTTCCCTTCCACAGCACTGCTCTTTTTGAGTCTGCGCCACCACTGATGGACTTGGTAGAGAGGGTACAGCACCGGTAGAAAGCGAAGAGCGAGGTTTTCCCTCAAACAGCGGACAAAGCTAACACACCGTGGGCCACTGACTGGTACCAGTCATAGTCACAGCCACAGCCAGTCATATTCATAGTTATGGACACAGACATATACATATACATAGACGCAACTCCCGGTTCCCGTGACGGCCAAAGACAAGGTTCAGATTCATCCTCATTTCCAGCCAGTTTGCCCGATGAGCCTCAGCCTGAGCCTGACTGAACCCTGCTCTACCAACCATGAACATGACTGATATCCGGTTAGAATGACTGATATCCGGTTGGAAACGGACGCCCCAAAGACACCACGCCACAAACGGCAGCAGAGCACAGCACGGCACAGTCAAGGTACAGTCAAGACAACATCTATATAAGTTTCTTTCTCCCATTTCTATCTCACAATCACACTCACACACTTCCTCATCACGATCGCTCGATCCCTCGCTCATCATATTGATCCCTGGCCCATCATCTCGGTCCCTCGAGCGCTCACCCTTGACCCAATACTACTCCCATTGCTGCTGCTGCTGCTACTACTACCAGTCAGTAGTATATACCAACACCGACCCGACTCGATCGCTCATCCAAGACCGAGACTGCCCTACTCGACACCTTACCTTGGAGAGAAACTCCTGTCCTTCCATCTATTCCCCAGGAACCCACCAGGCTCAACCCATTACTGACTACTTATCCCTATCGACCGGTTCTTCACTAAGCCACCGTCCCTATCGCTATCAACTATCGGCCCTCTGGTTTCCTATCTACTATACACCCACCGAACTCCTATCTAGCATCTACCCTACGAAGTCCTACTAAATACCTAACCTACTGAACTCCCCTCTACTATCTACCCTACCGAACTCCCATCTATCTACCCACCGAACCCCTCTCTACCCTACGAAGTCCTACTAAATCCAAAACAATGGCCTCCAATTCCGCATTTACATCCAGAATCAAAGCAATGGCAGTCACATCGATATCCGCCCCAGCAACCAACCCCCCTTCACTTCCATCCGCCTTAGAAACAACCTCCCCTTCACTTCTCCCCCAGCCAACAAACTCCCCTCTGCCCCCACAACCAGAATATCACCGTGACCGACCCGCCTCAACAACAACCTCCCTTGTACCCCCCCAGCCAAACTCCCTTCTACCCCCCCAGCCAAAATTCCATCGTGACCCACCCACACTGCTCAACCTCCCCGCCGAAATCCGCACCCAGATCTTCAGCCACGTGTTCCAAGACGTCAAGGTATGCCGCACGCAAGACTGGCAATGGGACAGCACCGAATGCACCGCACACCCATTCGGGCTCCTCCGCGCCTGTCGGCAGACATATCACGAGGCCAAGGATTTCGCATCCGCCGCGACCATCACGCTGATCTCAGAGCGAGGCCCGCACGAATACTGGGACAACGGCGTCTCTCCACCGTGGGAGAAGATCCCGCCACGAGTTCGACAGCAGATCGATGCGGTCGAGTTCCTCACGCACGACCCGGACGTCGTGACTCCGCTCAAGCGCTACCGACCAGACCTGTATCCCAACCTGAGGACCATCTGGCTCGTCAAGCTGTACGAAGACCTCCTGTACGAAGACCTGATCTGCTCGTACGTATATGCGGGCCAGGAAGACGAATTTCAGGTCGGCTTGAAAGAGGAATATCTCTACGAACTGCTCGAGGAAGAAGTGACTGAGACGGACTACGACGACAGTCTGCATCATAAGTTCAACAATATCAGTATGGGCGGCATGGTGGAGCCGCTGTTGCAGGACACCGACATCACCGTGCGCTTGTGGTGCGGCTTGCAGGCCCGCAGTTTTTACGACACTGGTGAGAGATTGAGGTCCAGCCAGTGTGAATGGGCTGATGGTAGCTGTGTAAGTGACTCTCGTCGTCCTTTTTTGTTCTTCTACCTCTTCTTGTCTTTCTTGTTGTCGCGTGTTATTTGTGCCAACACTAGTACCTCTTGTCCTTCTTCTTGTTGTCGCGTGCTAGTACTACCCCTTATGCTACCCCTTCTTCTTCTTCTTCTTCTTCTTCTTCTTCTCCCCCTCCTTGTCCTTCTCCTGTCAAACTTAGGCATTGCAGCCTTGTCCTTAACCAGAAGGCTGGTTTAGGATATTCTATACTATATAGTATGAGCTCCCCCTGCGACCTTGATAGAGGAGAGGGAACATTTTCAACCTTTATTTGACACCTTCTCCCCCTTCTTGTTCTTCTCCCCCTCCTTGTCCTTCTTCTCGTTGTTGCGTGTTATTATTTATGCTAGCACTAGCACTACTACTGACACTGCCATTCACAATTCGCTAACATTTACATTCATAGCTCGTCATCTGGAACAAACACGGCATGAAAATCACCAATCTGAGAAAGGTCACGGCAGTATATATTGAGGCTGAGGAGGAATTCGAACCAGAACAGGAAATTGAAGAAACTGTGGAACAAACTTGGGAAGGATGGGAAGAAGAAAAAGAAGAAGAAACTAGAGGAGAATTTGCACCAGAAATTAGAGGAGAAAAGGAACCAGAAAAGGATGTAATAACTGGAGAAGTCTTAGATCCCTCGGCTTGGTGAAATGTACGACATTAGAGTGGCAGCAAGATAAGGAAGACAATATACTGTTGTTGTTGAATACTCAAGACTCAAGACAGAAAAGTCATATATCCAACTATGGGTTGTACCAGGCCTGAGGAGGCATCCATCACTCAGGTGGGAAGTGAGTATCTATCTGGTCTCTGGTAACAAAGAACCTGTCTCGTTACACAAGACCCTTCTACCCCTCCTGTCCAGGCTACAGTACCTTCCGTCCTGTGAGTTGACTCATTTTTCCAATTTGGTAGTCTCCCACCTTCTCTAAGACTCAAGACTTAATACTCAAGACTCAAGGCTCTATCAAAAGGCTAAAGGGTGAAATATTCTATGTTTTCTATCAAAGGGTCGTAGGGGGAGTGTATGCTATATAGTATAGTATAGCCTAAACCCGCCTCTCTGGGTAAAAGGGCAAGGCTGGGAATGCCTAAGTTTGACAGGCTCAAGGTTCAAGACTCAAGACTCAAGACTCAAGACTCAAGACTCAAGACTCAAGACTCAAGACTCAAGACTCAAGACTCAAGACTCAAGACTCAAGACTCAA